AGATGGAGCTTGGCCATTTAAGGCTTTCTATGTGAGAAGGAGGATTTGCTGCTGATCTTTTCTAATTCTTCCATCCAGCAGGTGAAGAACAGAACAAAGAGACGCTGCAGGACGTGGAGGACGAGGCCCAGTGAGACTCTGCCACCGACCGCCAACAACTCGATGCCCCGCCCCTTCACACTCCTCCTCCCCCCCTCTGGAGCTCGCTGACCCTGCAGGGCCGTGGAGCTAGCGAGTTGATTTTTCTCTTATTTTTGTATTAGCCCTCGCACAGTTTTCAAAAAAACCACTTAATTGCGACAGGAAGTGAAGGTTGGAGAGAAAGAGATCAAAGGGTCCCTGTTTGCTGTTTTTGTCCCGGTACAAGCAGTTCTGAAAAAAAAAAAAAAAATCTTTGTTTCATTGTTGTATTTTTGTTTTTTCCTCCACATTTTTATCAGTTGCTGGATGTATTGAGATTTTTTTTGGTAATGTAATTACAGAAATTAACTTTTATTACTAATAATGTTGAAGAGTAGTCATGGGAGCCGTTTTATCCGTTTTTAGCGACGCGTCGAACAGATTCTCTGACCTTTATGGTGTTTTTTTTTTTAACGGGCAGTTTGGAGGTTTTTCCGCTGCCGATTGTTGGATGGGTCGGATCATCCGGGGAAGATGGCAGAACGTGCGATATCCACGTGGGACAAAGAAGTGCTTGATGTTTTACACTACAGTCAGTCCTGTTCCGTAGCCGTTCCTGTGTTTTGTGCTGAAATACTGTACGTGTTTTTTCACATGCTAAACGTCCCGACACTAACTTATTTCTAACTGCTTTGGTTCTCTCAAACATCGGGAGGAGACGACTCCTCCTCCGACGAGTGAAGATGTCTGAAGGGGGGGCGGCAGCGCCGACAGGAGCTAACGCGTTAGCCTCTGCTGCTTCTCCCCTGCTTTTATTCTGCTAGCGGTTTCATTTTTTGCTTCCTTCGATGTAACTTGGAGCTGATTTGTACTACTGGATATCTGACTGGAGCCACAGACGGGGAATCTGTAACGTTCTTATTGAAACACAGCATGGCATTAACATTAAACCATCTAAATTCAAACAAACCGACTCACCTTGTGTTTGTCCTATAAAGGGTTAAAACATTAAAGGATTTTAAAAGTTTATTACAAACTGAAACTGGGTGAAATAATCCAAACCTTAATTTCTTGAAAGTGATGATTATGATTTAGAGAATAAGTGTCTTTGAATATTAGTGAGAAAAAATGTCTCATTCTGATCGGAACTAAAAACTCGTCCGGATTCTCTTAGCTTCTTCTTCACGATCCATCATGGCGGCGGCTGATTGGCCGACGTTCAGTCGCCTCACGGACTTCCTCCATGAAGAGGAAACGATCATCTTCAACATAAATCAAAAGGTTTGGTTCATTTTATGAGAAAGGAGCATAAATCCCACGACTGACACTGAACCATCTAGATGCTGCGGATCTATGTGTCTGGTGGAGCGATTCTCTGCTGCATCATCGGGTCCAAAGCAGAGTTCAGTTCTGGGAAATCCTCCAGAAGCGGTGATGAAGAGCCGGAGGCCGAATCTTCAGAACTCCACTTTATTTTGGGAATTTTTGGTTTTCCAGAAAACAGAATTTATAGTAAAAAATGAATTATTGACAAACTAAAACTAATTCCTGGTTTTATTTCATCCTAATAAAATAAGTTATTGAATCCAATCAAACATCCATTAAATCAACAGAATTTTATAAAGTTTTTTTGTGGTACGGCTGCTCAGTGGTAGCACTGCTGCCTTGCAGTCAGAAGGTTCTGGGTTCGATTCCCAGCCTGGGGTCTTCTCCTTGTTCATGTGTGGGTTCTCTCCAGGTACTCCTGCTTCCTCCCACAGTCCAAAAACATGACCATCTCTAAAGGTGTGAGTGAATGTTTGTTTGTCCTGTTTTCCTCGTTGTTGCCGTGCGATGGACTGGCGACCCGTCGCCTCGCACCCGTAGACAGCTGGAGATAGGCTCCGCCCCCACCGCGACCTGACAAGAACTAAGCAGGAGAAAATGGATGAACGGATTAAAAATCTTTGGTGATAAATGATTGTGACATGAATTAAAAATAATTTCATCTTTAGCAGTTTCCATTCTTTTGATTGAAAATTTACTTTTGCGAAACAAGCTTTTAAAATCATAACTTATAAGAACAAGTTATTAGTAATATTAATTCTGAATTATTTAAATGTAGAACAAAGATAAATGTGTTTAATCTGTGGTTGCTGGTATAAACACTAAAAACTAGTGTTGAACCGATACCAGTATCAGGCGGGGGCCCGATCCAGCACTATAATGGTGGTATCGGTATCAGCGAGTCCCAACCAATAGGGCACCGATACCATTTAGAGCCAAAAGTTTCTCCAACTATTGTCACCCATTCCAGGTAGGAAATAAAAAGTTCTACTGGATTCACTTTATTCTGTTTCCTGCTTCTCTAAGGAAGGCAGCAGCATGAAGCCATGATGGTGATTATTTTACATCCAGGTAGTCTGCAGTTCTTCATATGCAGACATCAGTTACAAACAGAAGATATCGGCTGATCCTGCACAGCCAGGTATTGGGGCTAAATGGCATCAGAGAAACTCTACTAAAAATAGATCTTTACTACTTTTCATAATAGAAATAAAGGGTAAAAAACGATTTTTTTCCCCCAAATATGTTTTCTAGTGCTATGTTCAGGTGCAGCAGTAATTAACAGCAATGAACAGTATGCTGCTCTGCTTCCATCACTTACCTTGTTTTTGCCTTTAATCCTTTTTTTTTTTTTGGGGGGGGGGGTTGCATTTTTGAAGAAAATTTGATTTGAAAACATCAAACATGACAACATGATATTCTACAGAGGAGTTTAGAAAGCTACGTTCACAAAAAATGCTGCACACCCTCTTAGAAATAAACGTCTGCATAAGATGCTGGTGAAGATTCTCAGTCATTCCAAAAAAGTTAACAAATGATCCACTGGACTTAAAGATGTTTCTTCAAATAAAGTTTCAGGGAGAATGTTGGACAGCTTCTACATTGTTTGATCTATATTGTGAGAGAAAGCTTCAATTGTGCAGTGAGTCTTATCCTTTCACCATGCAGCTTGTTCACATTCCTGAGGATCTTCTGCTCTGTGTCCTTTGATAGCAGACCTCAGTCTTAAGCTGTTGGGAAAAAGTCTTTGCTGTCTGCATCTTCAATTCACATAAAGATGG